TTTCTTGGTGGTCCCGATCCAGGGGCACTTCCCGGTGTTCCCGATCCAGGATAATTTCCTGGTGATCCCGATCCAGGAGCACTTCCTGGTGTTCCCGATCCAGGATAATTTCCTGGTGATCCCGATCCAGGATAATTTCTTGGTGGTCCCGATCCAGGGGCACTTCCCGGTGTTCCCGATCCAGGATAATTTCCTGGTGATCCCGATCCAGGGGCACTTTCACCTTGAAATGGCCTGCCGGGCACAGTTCCTGGAGAATATCCACCAGGCGTAATTCCAGTTCCGTCTTGAGGCCTTCCACCAGACCAAGGTCCGATGTTGCTGCCTGGCTGTCCTTTAGACCAGGTATCACTTTCAATGTTAGGCTGTGTACCATGAGGAACAGTTCCATAAGCAGGTCTGGTACTTCCAACAGAACCGGGGTTATAACTTGTACCTCTGTGTACTGGTGTTGTACCATAAAACGAGGTTGTTCCAGCTACACTGGGAGTGCTGTATCCTGTAGGAGATGTTGCAAACGCGCCTGCACTAGCGCTTGCAGTTGCACTGCTACTGGCAAAATTAAAACCAGGTTGTCTCGGCCCCGTTCTGTCGTATGGAGCGGATAACGTAGGACTCGGCACGTTAACATGATTAAATGGTGTTTTAGTTGTTCCAAATCCAGTATTCAACGTTGGATATCCAACAGGAGAGGTAGTTCTCGTATCTTGCCAAGGGCTACTTCCAGTCTGACCAGCACCTGACCAGGGAGTAGTAGTGTCACTATAAGTTGGCTTGGTGCCACCTGGATGATCGTAAACGCCACTTGGCGATCCCGGTGATTTTCTCGGAACATATGGATTTTCTTGGGGAACAGATGAACCGATTCCTCCATATGGCCCTTTAGTAGTTCCAAAAGTACTTGGTGTCGGTCGTGTAGCATAAGAATCAGTGCTGGGGCGTGCTTGATCTATTCCACTGTTCGGCCCCCTAACCGTCTGAGTGTTTGCTGGTTTGTACGGATTAAATGGATGATCTTTTCTCCCTAAGTTAAATGGTCCTCCATAAGAGCTTCCAATACCAGATGTTGCGCTGGCACCAGCATAAGCGCCAGCATATGCGTCTGTACAAATATAAGCATTACACATTTATTTATGTTAATATCGTAAAAAAATTTGAAACTGTGGGACATTCCACGGCTTTTCATGTTGAATTAATTGGATAAAAGCTAAGTTGTATTCCGCATATCTACGTTATCGTTGTTTAATAATATTATTTGTATCAATATTAAAACAATCAGTAAGAATACTGAATTGTAAGCACGCACTTTGTGTTCCAGGTTGTCCGTAAGGGTTGTTCTGATTTCCCTGTGGATTTCCGTAACCGCTTGGAGAAGGTAAACCGCTTCCTGCGTGTGGTGCCGCGGACGAAGGACCACCGGGGAATTGATTTCCCCATCCTTGTCCGGGTTTCGACGTCGCGCCGTAGTTCGGGAAGGGTGCACCAGGTCCCTGCGAAGAGGGAAATCTGCCGTCGTGTCCACCGCCCAAGGCAGGCTTCGGCGAAGAGCCGGGACCAGCCGGTGTTGTCCCTCTGTTCCAGTCTGGCCAAGAGCTCGGTGTTGTTCCAAAAGCGCCCGCGGTTACCGCGCCACCATATCCGGGCTGCGGCGCACCTGAATAGGGTGTACTCCAGCCGGGTCCGGGTCTCGGCGTGGTTCCGTAGCCACTGACTGGCCTCGAGTATCCTGGGCCCGTCGGATAACTGACGCCGCCAGGACCACCGCCAGGACCACCGCCTCCTTTCACCCCGTCGTCAACGTTGACGCCCGTCGGTCCCGTCTTGTGCACCCCCGATGGATGCGATCCTGGTTTGTGTCCTCTACCAGGACCGTGATGGTGCGTTTTATCGGGCCTGTATTGACCGTCGTCGCATTCATCCCCATCGTTTTCGTCCCCCTCTTCCTCCGGCTCATCACGTTCCCAGTAATCGTCGTTCTCCCATTTGCATTTAGAGCAGCCATCGGTGTTCTTATTATAGCCGGGACCTCCGCCTTTTATTCCATGATCATGGCTGGCGCCGTGTCCCGAAGGCGTGCCGTAAGATTTTACACCACGATTAGCATTGCTGTCGCGAGGAAAACCAGTGCCGTCGTAGCTACGAATTCCCTTGTGGCCATCGTGATCGCCAGGAATATCTTCTGCGTCTCGAAGCGCATCGGTGCTGCTTAATGCAAACGCACCGGCTCCATCGCGCGCGCCGGCTGATACATTACCTAAAAAAAATAAATACATAAGAACCACTTTTAGCGGTATTTAAATTATGATATACGTGCGACAGCCTTTCGTTTCTTCGTTTTTTTTTTTCTTGTATTCCAAGTTTTAACAAGTGGAAGTTACAACCGACGAGTTATATAAACTTTACTATAATACGCACGTCCATTAAAGCTGTCGAAACATTTTCGTGTAAAATAACCGAGGGTTATTGTAGCGATCCGAGTATGAAATGTCGAAATTTGTACAGCGCAATAGGAAAGTAAATACTACTTTATTTTCACAGAGACAGAAACTGGATACTGGATCATCGAATGCTTCCCGTTTGTCCGCAATAAATTCGGTCCCGACACTCCGCGCACGGAGGTTGTAAATTTTCAATGATTCGTAACAGAAAATATTTCATGATACATGTGAAAAAGATTGTACTCCTCTGCGGATAGGCCAACAACCATATATGTGATGATATGACGCGACGGCACCAACGAGATGGCCTCCAATATTATTTATAAAGATGATTTCATTGCGTTGTACACAAAGGAAGAATTAATATACATACTAAAGGCGCCGCTAGTGCCGTCATTGTCTTTTCCACGTGCACTTGAAGTTTCAAATAATGCTAGTTTATAAATATAATTTCAATAAATTACAATGAATTAACGTTATTAAATCTGGTACGAAAAATATAGCTTTGTAAATAATTGTAACATTGTAAATATCTGTAAGTGATATCACATAGAGTCTTGAATTATTAATTATATTTTTGTAACTATTGGTATATTTATAATTATCGATTTTTTAAATAATCGACTTTGAAGATGGATTAACAATATTCTGTCAAACGTTCAATTGTAGAATGTTTTCATTCCTTTATACTTATACAGTTTGCATCTAGCTCATTCGATACAAAAGAAAAGACAGGCAACACCGACAAAAAGACTTATTAGCATTCAATAATTGAGACGAGAACTTAAAAGACTTTTAATTGTTTGCTATTTTTCATTGCAATTAAATGCACGCGCAGTCGTACTTTGACTTCTTTACAAATATAACTCGCCTGGTTGAGTGGCAGATATCTATACGAAACTGAAATAGATTTTACGGCGTGAGGGACTACCTGAGCCGGCGAGAAACACGCACGCGAAAAGCACCACCACCAGGCAACACTCGAAGCCGCGGGTCCACATCTCGGCGATCTCGGCGGAGGCCGGCTCGCGAATGTTGCTCTACTGGTTGCTGCGTTTACACTGCGGCGCCGATTGCCGATTCATTGCCAAGAGTGTCCTGACCGAAAGCTCGTATATATATAAGGATACCCCAACGCGGTGAAAGGGACGCCACCGCGAGCGATCCGCGAAGGTATCCTCGGCGGCGCAGCCAGAGACATTCGTGCATTGTCGGGCAATGAGTAATTATTGTTTCTACTGTTTACCTACTGCTTATCAGACGAACGAGCTAATAGAAACGGCAGGTGCGGTGTAACAGAAACGGCAGGGACGGGTTTAAGACGGTCCACCGCAGCCGGAGATGACTGCGTCATCGTTCTTTAGGAGTTTCCCCGGGAGAGACTTCAATGCTCGTCACGTCTACGCATCCTGTATGGCATGCCGCGAGCGAATGCTGCGAATCCGTGTTTTGTCATCTCGCACAAGAGGCTCTTCAAGTCTTACTCGCTTATCGCATTCTCTATCAATATAAATCTAGTTTTATACATACAATAGGATAGGAGTCTCTCCGTTGAATAGCCATTTGTTATTTAATATGAAATTATTTAATGTAAAATCAATTTAACATAATATATGTTGCTCTACACTTATATTTATATTTCAATTTTAAAGATTAAAATCTCATAGTTTTCATCATTAAATGCCTTTGTACTTATTAATAAATTCCCCTTAAAGAAACGACTACTCATGATTTATTGTTTTTCACTATCTGAAGCGTAACTTATCAAGTATCGGGCATAATCTTTACATAATGATAAATTACAAATTGCTTTGCGTGTACGTTGCAGACGTATTAAAATTATCAAATTATTACTTCGAAAGATGCTATTATTGACAATTGCAGTGTCGTGTATGTTTATGCATAAATTGCAGTTGCAATTCTCGTGCAAATAATTCACAGTAAAAAATACACGCGTATACGAATCCTCGAAATTCCACCGGCGAATTTCAACAACTTCTTTCAAATAACGACCATTAAATTCGTCTTTTCCTAACGCGAATCTTTCGCGCCAACGTTCGTTTGTCTTTCGGTCATTTCTATTCTCGGAGGAATCCAGTAACTATTTTATGTCTTATTATCCCGTTCCATTAATGCCGCGCATATATTTTTCTATTTGTCGATACAACTCCCACGATTAGATCGTATCACGGATTATGGGGAATGCGTTTCGACAACTGGAGGACTGGTTTTTCAGTGAATCATTTACATCGGGATTCTTCTCGCATTGTCCCTGCCGGAAATAATTCTACAAAATTCTACAAACAAATTAAATATAACTGCCACAATTTAAGAAATTCTACGCAAATTTAAAAAGTTGTTATAAAACTCAACATGAAAATGCTAGAATTCAAACACTTTTGTTAACTTTTGTAATATTCTACAAGTAAGCGGGTGTTTTAATTCTTTAAAATTTTGTTGTTTCTCAAATTTGTTAAACTAATAAAGTTTTGTACCAATTTTTACAAAATTGTACATTTTTATGAAATATTACTTGCAATAATTTCTTGATTTGAGAACATTGTAACTTGTGGTACTATTTCGTAGATATTTTTACAAAAAAAATTAATGTTTCAACGAAGATATCAAAATTTCTACAAATGTCTATTTTAAGTCAACTTTTTGTAGTTGTGTGCGCGCGCGTGTAAACATCATCGATACCCAGTGAGAAATGATTCGTTGAAACGACGTCAAATTTGACAGTGTCGATGTCATTCGACATCAATTTGAAGGTGTTGATGTCGATACCTAAGGGTCTATCCAGACAAACTTACGTAGCGCATAAACGTGCCCATGTGGAACAAATTAATCACAAAAAGTTGAAATGATGAACTTTACGTCATAAAATAATCGACATAAAGATTTACTTTGCAATGACTGATTTATGACATGCTGTTTTATGATATTCGGGATGTGTATAATAATATTATTACAGATTACATGATCAGTCAGATATTATGTTTATCGTATATTACTTCAGTTTATTTTTAATGAATAATATTTCACTAACTTTGCTTTGTAAAACATGATCATTTTTACATTTTGATGTCTCAATGATGTCACAAATAGATGCTCTCGGTGGGCTATTTTGACGTCACCGTGATGCATAAAAAAATGATCAAAAATTATGTCATCTTGATGTTTTCATGACTATGTTCTACTTGGGTGTGCACGAGGAATCTGATTGGATCATAAATGCGCGCACATAACGAAATCGACCAATCAATTTCTTTAGGCGTATGCGCTTACGCACCTGTGCAAGTTTGTCTGGGCAGACCCTAAATGTCGCAGAACTAAGCGATCGGTATGCGCCGACGTAAGAGAACAAAGGCGAAATTACGATTCGTTGTATAATAATAATAATAATGACATTATCCGCGATCGTGTGTGCGTGCGTATTTTTAGAAATGTGCACGTGCTACAACGTCTCTCCCGTGTCTCCTCCGCGTGCAGATATCCTGGATGGTAAAGAACGATCGTAATTGGGGGGGAAAAACACGGGGTATAAAAATTATACGTGGCCACAAATCCCACCGCCGCGATGCAGAAGCACGCCGAGATGTTATCGAGGAGCGAAGATTTCAATTTCCTTATTATTACCGCGTGTTACATCCGCGTTAACAGATTAATCGTACGATCAACGAAATTCACGCAATACCGGATGCGGGGTAATATCTCAGAGGATACTTGATGCACGTAATAATTTATCTGTCAAATTAAGAGGCTCGCCATGTCGTTCTCGTAAGAAAGGTCTAATCGTCACGTCGCAACATCGCAACGTTCTTTTTTTAAGTTCCACTTTACGAATAGTTTTAACAAAATCGCGCGAGCCAAAATAGAAAAATATAAACGTTAATTTAATCCACAAATTATGTACGAAAGAAAATTTTCCAAAGAATTGACAATCTACTCTGCAAAAATCAATCAGTGAATTATCCACTGAAAACAGTGAAAGGTCACCGATTTGCAGTTATAAGTATACAGCGGGGAGCACACACTTTTGCATAAGTGAATAAGCATATATGCATAACGAATTCGATTGGTCCATTTCCTTGTGCATTTGCTTTATAGACCGATCAAGTTCGTTATGCATATGCTTATGCGCTTATGCAAAAGTGTGTGCTCTCCGCTTACCACTGCGATTTTCAGTTTATCGGCGGTGTCAGAAGATGCGCGGCAAGATAGTTCCAAAGGTAAAATAATGGGCGTAAAGGCGCGCGAAACGAGCGTTATCAAGTGAAACGCCGGCGTGGCCGCTCTCAGCCTAGTGAAAATAAAAATTGGAGCGTAAATCGAACGTAAGGGGAGAGTGATACAAGTGCAAACGAAATGTGTAGGAAGCGTAATTTGGAACAACGAAGCGTAAAAGAAACTTCCCCAAGGAGAACAAAAAGTTAGAATGATGTCGTATTGACCAAATTTATGTCAAATTTTGGTAAATTTCATGCCATATTGACCAAAATTTTACATAAATTTGGTCAATATGACATCAAATTGACATCATCCTGACTTTTTGCTCTCCTTGGGTTCGAACGATTCTTTTACGCTTCGCTGTTCCAAATTGCGCTTCCTACACATTTCGTTTACGCTTCTGTCACTCTCCCCTTACGTTCGACTTACGCTCCAAATTCTATTTTCGCCAGGGCAGGTTTCTCCCTGACGGTAGTCCCGCGCAGTCACGCGCGGCCCCGCCGTGCCCCTCGCGCCAATTTCAAGATTCGAATTTCCCGCGCTCGCGCGCAACGGCGTCGATGCGTCGAATTCGAGCCGCACGAGGGCGGAATCGATAGCGCATCACTAGCGCCAACGTTCACGTAGACGGAGGTTGGCGCTGGGCGACGCAGGGCAACGCAGGGTGTCGGCAGAGTGTTCCCGGTTCACCTTAGTAGGTTTTACTCCAGTTTACTCACGCCGCTTTACCGGAGAGATCCCGTTCGCTTTTTATCGCGGAGTGACACGTAAGTAATGCACGATCGATCGCGCGGTCGACTATTGCTCCGCGCTCCCGTACTGCGCGCGACGGCTGTTTTTTTTTTTTTTTCCCCGGGGCGTGAAAACGGCGGAACACGTTTCGGAACACGACGATGGCTGTTTCCAGCGCGTCCTTCCGAACGGCGGATCCTTCGACCGCAACGTCCTGGGCTAACGTTACGTTTGTCGCGCGACAAATTTCTCCAAGCGTGTCGATTGCCCGCAGAATAGATCACTTCTGGAGATAACTTTTCTATTCTACAACCAACAGCTCAGTACGCTTAACAAGTGTGTACGACAGATGTAATTACAGACTTCGTACGATGATATCGAGAAATTGGACGCTCGCTCTCGCGGAGGAGCTCCGGTCGTCGCCGATTCTCTTGTCGCGACACTTTGCGGGGCGAACAAACCGCTCGTACCACCGCCTCACCTTAATTCTAACCTGGCGCCCAGTCCCAGTCACTGGAGCACGTTCAAGTATCCTGCGTATATTCTAATTGAACGCCTCCTCGCGTGTTTTTCCAGGTACAAAGCTTTAGCGTCTCGCAAAAGATGGCAGACTCTGACGACGAGTATGACAGAAAGAGACGCGATAAGTTCAGAGGCGAGAGGACAGAGTCGTATTCACGAGAGCGGAGGGACGATCGCAGGCGTGACGACTGGGTCGATAGGTACGTGTACACGTATACGCCTTCAATACACCTTGGGCTCAATTCTTCAATTCACTCGACGGAGAAACGGAAACGCGAATTCTGGCTCTTAAGGCCAATGTCCACGATGCTAGAACTTGGACCAAGTTCTAGCATCGTGGACATTGGCCTTTACAGAAAGCTTACAGGTCTCGTAACTTTTCTGTAACAGCAAGATTTATCGTGCCAACGAATTCAAGAATCGAGCCCCTGATCTTGCCGGAGTCTAGCAAGCGTTTTACAAGTGACAAAAGTTCTCGCTCTCCGTGATATGCAGCTGCTAAAGATCTGCTGTCTCTTGTATCGTCGCGCGAAAAAGAAACGACGAGAAGAATTATAGGCTGATAGCTGCGTGCATAGTTTATTTCCTCTCGCTGCGCCTTTGCCGTCCTGGTTACACTGACAGTGATTCTTCTAGGGAGTGGTCCAGCCGGCCCAGGCAACGTCCAGATTATCGGGAGTACCGAGGCGGCGGCGGCGGCGGCGGACGCGACCGTTACAGTCCTGCGAGATCCCAAGACATGGCGCCACCTCTAAAGCGAATGCGATTCGAGTGGGACGACAGGCCGAGATATGGACATGATTATTACGGTGGAAGCGGCAGCGGTGGCGGCGGCGGCGGCGCCGGTGGCGGCGGCGGCGGTGGCGGCGGTGGCGGCGGCGGAGGTGGAAATTCTTGGAGCCCGGACAACTACACCTCGCCTCACCATAGCAACCATCACTATGGGAATCATAACAATAGCAGCAGGTTCGCTTGTTTTTGTAACATGTCGCGAGTCTCCCTTCTCTTTTCTGCGTTTCGCTAGACTCTCTAATATGATGAGGCGGGCAGGATTTATGAGGATTCCGCCAAGACGGAGTCGTTTGACTCCGCAGTTGTTAGCTAAGTTAAGGTACTGCTTACATTCATAAGATGCAAAAGTCTCGGGATGCAGAAAACTACGCGGTTACGTTTTTTTTTTGTTTGTTACTGTTTAAAGAGAAAGAAATATACCCCGTTTAACAGCAAAGATATGAAAGTAATGTACATTAAAACTTGTCAATTGATGGCAAACGGCTACATATGGTCTTGTGGCGTGTATCAGAGATCGAGCCTTGTATAATATTTACATTGTGATTGTCTTGGAGAAATACACGGTGTATTTATGTTGCTTTCAGTCGAGAAGTTGCTGGAAATTTCAGTAATTCGAACGTTGAAACCCAGCCACCCATGATGACGTTCAAGGCGTTCCTTGGCACCCAAGAAGACAGTATCACCGACGAAGAGGCGATTAAACGCTACAACGAGTACAAATTGGAATTCAGGAGGCAGCAGCTGAATGAGTTCTTTGTCGCCCATAAAGACGAAGAATGGTATATTAATTACTGTATTCTTCATTTGCGCACATGCACATTTCTGGGGTTGCATCGTTATATTATTCAGGATTGAACAAATTTTGCCGCGGTGCTTTTATTAAATAACGAAAATAGAAGGAATTTTTACAGTGGCTAAACTAAAGTGCTATTCTTAAGTGAACGAACAAACGTCTTTAAAATCATTAAAACTGAATAAACAACGGACACTATTGAGTAAACCACCGCCACTGTGGGAGATCGGTCGCGTCGACCTCTGTCCACGCATGTACACATTTGGCCACATGCCTGGCAGAGAGACGAAAGACTGTTCATGATCGCTGATAAATTGCAGATACGATATATTGTAGTCTAATTTCAAACAATATGACCAGCTCTGTCTATCCCTACAGCATTTCGCCGCCATCGCCTTATACCTTGGGTCATCTCGCTCGTTTATTTTCTCGTTCGATCTTTTATGAATTTCGCGTCTCGCGCATCGCTGAAGACACGAGGTGCCTGTTAGGTAGCTAAATAGATTGCGAGCTGGGCGCGCAAAGCCCAAACATTGCTCGCGTAGGCCGCGTTCTAAACCCGTTACTTAATTTTACATTCGAGCACATACTGTCTTTGTCGATAAGACTCTCTGTGTCGACGAGAAAACTGAATGCGAGTAGAAATATGACTACAGGTGAGGCTCCATTCTGACAATGTTGATACTACCACGTTCAACCGTTTGAGTGCCGAAGGTGATCGTAAGAATTCTGCGAAAAATACCGAGCGGCGCGTTCGCGCTTCTGTCTCGTATCGAAAAGTGCCGCGACAACGATAAATGAAAATAATATTCGCTCTACCTACAGTTTCAGATCCGTTTTTCATAAATTCGTAAAAACACTTGGGTCGTAGAGCACATTCCAGTTATGAGAATTGCGACAGAAGCTGAGCACATTGTCGCTCGCCGGTACTTCTTGACATGAAAAGCAAGCGGTGCGTTCGCGCTGCGTGGCACTCAAAAGGTTTAAGGTACCTATATTTCCGAGCGCTATGACATACGCATTTGAAAAATCGCAAAGCGACAACTCGCGGCTAATTAAAACTAGTTTCAAGAGATCTTGTGACGATCTGATTGACACAAAAGGCGACAGTTATAATTTTACAACTTACTTAATCGACTGATCTCTTTCGCATGTTGTATCTCAATTTTACATAATTTCCGATTTTTTTTCTGTTTATAAACGCTCATTCTAAAACAGAAAAACTGAAAATTGCGTGAAATCGAGATACCATCTTGCGAAAGAAATCAGTCGTAATGTTCTTCGCGTGTGTACTGTGTTCTGTACGCGCTCTATTACGTATAAATTGTAGATTTAACATAACATCTAAGTTACAGTAGGTACAGTACGGAATTTATGATTGATACATAATACTCAAAAAGTTTTATTTCGCGAATATATGCATGTGCATGCACAATATGAGAAAGTGAAACATTATACTCTTTCGATTGTTCTTCATCTTCCGTGTCGCGGATTGAAAAAATAACTTTGATATGTTTCACCTCATATCTGCGTGCATGTATCATGAAAGATGCGCTAATTTGATCCACGTTTTCATCCGCGTTGCCTCTTTTAAATTACAGAACTAGCTGCATCACTGATACGTATGTGTGTTTCTATTCTGGGACTTGTTTAATATCGTTTATTGTTTCGTGAGCGTCCATTTATCGTATTTTTTTTCTATTAATCGCCAGGTTTAAAATAAAGTATCATCCTGAGGAATCAGTGAAAAGGAAAGAAGAGCAAATATCAGCGCTTAAGGTAGATACAATTCTACAATGTATGTTCTCTAATTTAATCACTAACATATTTGTGGGTGGACTGACAGAAATTTCGATTGTGCTTCTACTTTAGAAACGTGTGGAAATATTTCTGGAGTTGCTGAAATCGGAAGATATAGACAAGGTGTCCGTCGATGCCGATCAGGCGGATCCGTTACTGCACCTTTTGGATGCGGTGGTTATTAAACTGGAAGGAGGAACGGAGGAAGATTTACAGATTTTAAATATCAAACCACTAAAGCCCTTAATGACCAAAGACGTTTTGAAGGAAAAAGAAGATCTCAAGAGAAAATCTTCTACAGAGAAGAAGTCTGAGAACAGGTATTGCGAGATACATACCCGATGTTTTGAAAGATATATGAAAAAGAATAATAATTTATTAATATTTTCCCGTCCACTTTATTTCAGCGAGGAAAATAAGGTGGACGACTCACGATGTGACGAGAAAGATTCGAAAAATGATCAGAATGCTAATGTGGAGGTCGAGAGCCCGACAAAAGATGAAAACGCAACTCAATCTGAACCTACCAAGGCCAAGGAAAACGAAGTCGTGGAAAATAAAGATGTAGAAAAAACTGCCGAGGATGACAAGCCTGGTACATATCTAAAATATTTTGTGTAAAGACTTTCCGTTCACGTACGTTACAAGCTGTTTTGTTACAGCAGAAAAATCGGAGAAATCAAGAAAACGTAAACGTACCGACAGCAACAGTAGCAGCAGTAGCAGCAGTAGCAGTAGTTCCTCTGGTAGCGACAGCAATAAAGCGGATGTACCGAAAGAGGAGACTCGTAAGTATAATTAAATTTGACTTTGTGAAAACATTGAATTGTGAGAATACTATATTTGTATTAATTTCTTGCAAATCGTAATTGTTATCACAGCTGCTAACGAAAAGACAGAGGCTAGTAACGAAGATACCGATGAAAAGGACGTTAAAGTGGAGAAGCAGGAAACGAAAACGGAAGTAGAAGCAAAAAGTAGCAAAAAACCTACGCTTGTACTAGACGCAGTGATCGATTTGGCTAGCGAAGATAGAGATAAGGAGCCTAGAGCCTTGCACAAAACTAGCAGCATCTTTCTTCGTAACTTGGCGCCGACGATTACTAAAGCAGAAGTTGAAGCTGTTAGTTGAAATCTTTTCTATAAATAGATCTTGTAAAAGCTTCTGTAAACACATGTAGCAATTTACATTTTGAGCCATTTTTCACATTTCACGATAATTCTTGACATTTATAACGTTTATATAATTACGCTTGTCGGATAGATGTGCAAGCGATTCCCAGGCTTCTTGCGTGTGGCTATAGCAGATCCGCAGCCGGAGAGACGATGGTTCCGTCGCGGCTGGGTTTCCTTCGAGAGGCAAGTGAACATTAAAGAAATCTGTTGGAGTTTGAACAACATTCGAGTAAGTTCACTACGTACGCATTTATTATTCAAGAAAGAGAAACGGGTGCTTTTAATTGCTATGTCTCTCACACAGCTACGTGACTGCGAGCTTGGAGCAATAGTAAACAGAGATTTATCACGACGTATTCGATCAGTGAATGGTCTAACATCTCACAAGCAAATAGTCAGACACGATATTAAACTTAGCGCCAAAATTGTTCACAATTTGGATAATAAAGTAGGGCTATGGAGGGAGGAGAAGAAGGATGAAAACGCAGCAAAGCAGGACGAGAACAAAGAAAACAAAACCAGTAAAAATAACGAGATTGAGCAAGCTGTAAGAAAAATTTTGCGTCTACATATATGCTGATAGAAGCAAAAACTTGACTTCACGATTATGTGAAACTTTGCGTGTCATTTCAGGCTTTCGGATTGTCATCTAAAAATCCAGTATTAAAGAACATAACAGACTACTTGATAGAAGAAGCTTCAGCCGAAGAAGAAGAATTACTAGGTATGTCAGGTGAACAAGAAGAAGGTCAATTAGGCGACGGAGATAGTTCAATTGAGAGAGATCCAGTTCTAATCAAGGTAAATTAAATTTGTATAAAATACAGACCGGACTTTAGAAAATACTTTGATAAGTTACATAATAAATTTTACTTTATATGTATCAATAAACACATTGCGTTCGTTCTCGCAGGTATTAGACAGATTAGTGCTGTATTTGCGGATTGTTCATTCCGTCGATTATTACAATCACTGTGAGTATCCAAACGAGGACGAGATGCCAAATAGATGTGGAATAATGCACGTGAGAGGGTGTCCACCCACCGCCAAGGTGTCAAGCGCAGAATTATCGGAATATTGTCGCAATTTTGAGAACAAAATGTCTGCTTTTCTACAACCGGTGGCTACTCTAACCGACGAAGACTTCGACAAACTAGGCGCAAAAAATGCTGAAGTGTATCCTTATATCTTCTATGTTCTTTTAATATTTAGATATAATAATATTTAGAGATATGAAATGTTTCCTAGATTAAACAATATTTCCTTAATATATAAACAGTGAAGTCGAGAAATTTGTTCAAGCTAACACCCAAGAATTATCGAAAGATAAATGGTTGTGCCCGCTTAGTGGGAAGAAATTCAAGGGGCCCGATTTTATCCGCAAGCACATCTTTAACAAGCACTCGGAGAAGGTTGCTGAAGTGAAAGCGGAAGCTGAGTACTTCAACAATTATTTAAAAGACCCAAAAAGACCTCAGCTTCCTGAACATCCAGGTAATAAGGCTCCATTGAGAGACGGATCACGCGACAATTTTTCACCATATGGTTGCAGCTCGTAAGTACAAAAGTTACGAGCGGTTATAAATACTTGCGATTATTATCATGATATGTACATTTTATAAGAAATGCCATTTTTAATTTACATTTTATGGAATTCTATCATTGATATCGAGATAACGTGACATAACGTCGTTAAGGTACTCAACGCAAACATCCGCAAATATTTCTAGATTCGGAAGTTACAGTGGTGGATTTGGCAATAACAGAAGCAATTATGGCTCCGGTTATGGTGGCGGATTTGGATTTAGTGCCCCACGTCCTAATCGTGGCGGATTCAATCGGGGGCGGTAAGACAATCCTCTGTTTCAGTGCTAATCAATAAGGCCTGCAGAGAGTAGTCTCTACATACTTTAGTACAATCGCATAGTTGAATTTATGAAAGGAATCTGCACAGTTGGTATTCAGTTTTCCTTGGCGTTAAATTATACTGGAATCATGACAAATTCAAGATATCGATTATGTATCATTAGCCCGTTCAAGTTAATGGACTGAACATGGTGATACAATGTTTTACAGAGCCGCTCCGGATACTACATCAAGACCTGTTATTAGTTATAATGACTTGGATCAGCCGGACATGGACATGTTTTAAGTTTTATCGAAATCTCTACGCGTACTTGATTGCGTTAAATAATCATAAAAAATGCTAATACCATTACAGATTCTCTATTTTAAGATTTATGCTAAATTATGTAACACACTATTGGTAAAAGAACGAAAACTAGTGCGATCTAGAAATAACACTACAAAATTCGTATAATTTTTTAAATGTTATTTATAATATAAATCAAATGCATTTATTGCGCATCGAGATCCGGTATTATACTTTGAAATAAACGGGAAAAGAAGTCTATACATGTGTATACCGAAAATTTTAAAAAAGCGTCCTATGAATATAAACCATTTGGGTTTTATTTTTTATAGCAGGAAGCGAATGTACCTGGTAGTTTCTTTGATTACAACAGGAAATAAAGCCTCAATTTGCAATATTTCTTTGCATTTTGCGCTTTAGATTCTCCTTTTGAAATATTAGCGTGCAATAAAAATCATCCTGCACGTACAGAAAAAACAATATTTTATTTTTCTTCATGAAACTAGTTTTAAAATCATAAATTATATATTAATATTTATATAATCCTATCTAAAACAAATTCAAGGATCTATTGATGCTGCAAATTTATAATATGAATAACAAATAAATCTATTTGTGTGTTACTCTAATGATTTGTCATTTTATTTTGTCCCATTTCCGTTTAAACCCTATGTCCGGTTGGTCGTATGTCATGGGAAATCATAAAGTCATGCTCAATGGCTACATTATATATTTTTCTTTCTTGTTTTATGCCATTTAATATATATATGCATATAATATATGGCATAAAACAAGAAAATACGATTTACATTTTTAATTATTTTTAATAACATATGCGATTTTTAAGCAAACTATTGAGCGAGTATGCAAAACATTTTATTTTTTGACACCTCTCGCACATAAATATGCTTACATCACATACGATAGAATTAAAAACAATTTTACGTATAATTTTAACAATTGTATTTTATTTATATATTATTATATTAGTTATTTTATTGTTTTGCGTATATGTATATATACGCAATGATATCGATATTCATAATTTTTTCTAACAAAGACTTAATATTACAGTGGCGAGTTTCGACCAGTCATACATTATCGAGACCTCGATGCACCACGGGAACCGGACGAATTTCTATAAGATGATCAAAAGATATATTAAGATGGATATGAAAATATATAGACGCCACTTGAAACAACAATGTTGTTTTCTGTAAGCATTAATCACAAGTGTGTACATTGCATAACTGTGTACATACATATATATATATATACACATATGTATCTCTCTACGATCATATTAATCAATTCTAAAATAAAATTAGTTATAGTAAGCATATATGGATATTCGATATTTTCTTGAAGAAAGGTTAACACAGAAGGAAAGACACATATTGTGTATAAATTACAATTAGTATACAAAAGAACAAGGCTATACCTAATTTGTGTACAAAAGAACAAAATTTGAGACATTGATCAAATTGTGTGAAAGTAAAAAAGTCCAAATCAAACTTGGATGAAACATATAAAACTAACATCAGATTATATACGACTTAATTCGTTATTCATGCAATGAATTTTTCAGAGTTTTTCACACATTCGTAACTCATTATTTATTCCTATACGACTGTCTCGAAAAAAAAATTAAGAAACATAAATTAGTTAATTCAAGCCTATATTCAATAAATGATTAACCATAGAATGGGGTAATGAGTTTATTCTACTGAACGATTAATTTCCGTTTATCTATTGTGAATTATAAGTTGCGCATAGTCTGACGCTATCTTAATAAGATGCATTATGTATTACTGAATTTCAATGTTTTCAAATCACGTAGATTTTAGATAACAAAATAAATATTATATTAAAACATTTATGTACGATAACAATATATTCCTAAAATCGATAGTTTTGCTTTCCTTTTGCGAACAGAAGCGTAAAATTGATTTATATAGTTTTAATATTTATAATGTATGTAAACTTGTCTTATACTTAATAGTAACACAATAAAAGAGTCACAATAATTCATTAACGTGTTCTCTTTTATTCGTAGTTTGCGTCTAAAAATATTTCATTTCGTAATCAAGAAATATATTCAAAAAATTTGTGCAAGTTAATAAAGTGTACCGTATACATTGCACAATCGTACATTGTCCATACATGTTTTAAACGTTTTGATTTTTTTATATAAACTAGAATGTTTCGAGACGCAAAGAGCACATTGTAGATCAGGCTTTACAATTGTTACGAGACTAAGGGGCAAAGAGAGAAAGGATATATGGCACTAGATTCAATAAATAAAACGATTTAATATATATATTGTCGTATTTCTCTCTACAACACGCTATATACATTACTTACATTTATTTGTATAAAATACTGCATTTAATCTTCCTCTGATTGGCAATGTCTTCTTTCATGTGTAAATACTAATTGTAAGTAAACCGGTCTTTGCAGTGTCTCTCATCCGAGCCATCACCGCAATCGTCAATCCCATTACACTTCATTTCTTTCTCAATACATCTCTTGTTTCTGCACCACAGAAAAATTTTACATGTATAAAACAACGGTATATTTGAATTTAAAAGCCTTGCAAATCCTTTACTATTCTTTTCTCGTAAAGGCATTTATATTTTTCTCCAAAATATGCGACATTCAAAATTCAATTTCAATAGAATTGAAATATGTTGAAAATATTCGACCAACCTAATAATATCGTTATAGATCATCTCACGAAAAGAATTGAAAGCATTGGTATAATTGAGTTAGGAAAGAATGCGAAAAGTTAAAAGATGTAAAGTATTCTGAAGATTCGTAATTCAATATTACAGAAGGAGAATATTTATTCATTAAAAAAATTTGATTTTTTTTTTAATTATAGCATCTATCTTTTATACGGAAAATTCTTAAAATATTGGACTTACTGGCATGTAAATTCGTGCTTATTGCATCGCATTTCGCATCCGTCAGGCTCATCCGATCCGTCGCTGCAGTCTGCTAACCCGTCACAAAAGCGAACTTTCAGTATGCATTCTCCATTGTTACAAGTAATTTCGTTGTCCGAGAGGCAAGCTAAATAAAAAATAAAAGCTATTATTTATTGTTTTTCTCGACAATCTGCTTTTGCTCAAATATTCCATAATTCGAGACCGAAAAATTTTTATTCTGATTCTCCTAGTATCAAATTTTTAGAATTAAGTCACTCTCTCAGTTAACTACGTTTCTTGAATATTTAATATATGAATCATAAATTAAATAAAAATAAATTTGTATGCCTGATTATTTGTTCATATTTACACAGCAAACTTAACTCTTTTTATCTGCGAGTTGTCATTTTTACTGGAATAGATGAACGTGAAAATACAATGTAAATAAGCACATTCTTTGAAATGGGTTAATCTCCGTGTAACAATGCCAAATGTTACATTATATGAGAAACCGTAAACAATTTCATATCACGCATTCTTATCTATTAATAAAACTCGTGCATTATTAAGGATTTAGCGTGCAAACTTTCCTACGAAAAATACATGCATCTCAAATATAAATGTGTACTCACACCAATCAAGATTACGACCTACGAAAGAAAAGAGAAAAGAAGACATGAAAAGCACATCTCGCTAAGCGATGTAAAAGGAGGGCTACGAAATTACTTTTCTCGGTTTGTAACTTTATACAAGATGTCCTACAAATCATGTCTCGGTTTTTATCTGTAGCTCGTAAGTTAAATGGAGATAAAATATGGCCGTTCGAAAAGTGGTTGTTCAAGAACAAATTATAAAGGAACCATATCTATTGCAAATAATACTTTAAATAATTTAGAGAAGATTAATGATGTTTCTGCCATTATTTTGTAACAAAACTTAAACTAGTGCGACAAGAAATACTCGATAAACGTAGGACACCATGTATAATCTAACGATGTGACCTGGTGGAATTTTTTTTATTTTTTACTTTAGATTTGCATTCCCAAATAGTCTACAAAGAATCGTTGCTCCTCCATATTGCAATAAAGTGGCGTTTTCATTTGTTGAACATTTCGACATCTCAGACTATCGTTATCGCGATAAAATGCTGCAACGCTCACCTAACGTGCAATTCATCTCGTCGGTTGCATCCCAGCAGTCTACCTTGCTGTCGCATCTCCTCTGCAACGGAAGGCAGGAAGTCTCGTTACCGCACTGAAAATGCGTCTCCAGATTGCAGTCTGAAAAAGAACGTGTAGTACCCGATAGCATCGCGTTCTCCACTTGCCTCACGTATTTTGTATTTGCATACCTTGATACCCACATCAAATATCGCAAGCCGTATTCTCGATATAAAATCAAATCAACAGATCGCTAGGCCCTTTTGTGGCAAATATAATTTATCGCAAAAGTATAGGCCGTCTCGATTGAAATCATGAGAACAAATATCAAATAGCAATAAAACTTAGCGACGCCGGCACGAAAAAAAACGGCACTAATTATCTCTTACATTACGAAGAATCGATATTATCTCGCCGAATATTTTATCCTAAGCAGTTTATATCACGTCTAAAATAAAGAATTCTGCACGCTTGTCTGCGAATAAATCAAGCCGCGATAAAATCTCTTTTAATCCCTTACGAAAGAATAATTTATATACCTGGGAAAAGATAATTTCGTACATCCGTATTTCATTACGGCTTGCGTATCTTGGTTCGCCCATATGTCACTCGCAATTTGCATAACTTTTTATTGAGCCCATCAATCGATATCGAGTGATTTTAATTCGGCAGTGAGCCTCGGCTTTTAACGCGGAAAAATCTGATTGGAGCGATATAGGAGAAAAAACTGGCAAACCGAAGCCTCGCAAATAATAGCAAAGAAGAAAAGCCGATAACAGAAAGTTATAGGCCACTACGAACTAGGGCAATGCGGTATATTTTAACAAGAGACAAGTCGCGCACGTGGATGGACGATCGGCTTATGATAATTCAAGACCACGAGCGAGCAACGCTGACATTCATCTAATTCTATGAAACTGATCAATCATTAATTGTATACCTTTGCAGTACTTCGCAATACTCAAAAGGTACATAGAAACAGAAAGTGTGTCAGATCAACTCTTATATACTCAAATTAACGCGCTTATTGTTCTGTATATACGCAACAATCTATAATCTTCTTTGAAGCATTTAATAATCTTACGTTCCAACAATATTACAGTCTTATTTAAGTACTATATAATTGTCACTTCAAGAATACATATAATTATTTTGGCAGTAAGATCATTTTAATCATTGTAATTTCCGATTTGAAAATATGCTATTTTCTATCCAATATTGTTTCCTTCCCATCCAAGAAAATTATTCTTAAATAATGAGCATATATTTTTCTTGATTGTATTATATAAAGTTGCTTCATTTAAGTAAGTTTTTTAACGCAGTATAATCTCATTTTAAGATTTTCGCGTTGAAACTAAACATATTTTCAAACGAAGAATATTCCTTTTTTTCTGTTTACAATTAAAATAAAACTAACTGCCAGGAATAATCAAAGCACTTGTTGATAAGGATTCTTGTTACAAAGTTCGTTATCCTCGTCGAAGAAGAACAAAGAGAAAATTCGGAATTTGTTTTAGTACCCTGTTGTTCGTAAGAAGACTAACAATTAGCAAAATCGATGGTAAAAGTTATTTCAAATTTCGCCCGTAATAGCGTTGTAAAATCGCTCGAAGAGATCTTGCGTCCCAAGGAAAGATAAATGCGTTATGGCTGTATTTTTTATATTTGCACCTACCACAATTGTACTCGTCCGAATGGTCGTAGCAATTCATATGCCCGTCGCAGTGCTTCTCTAAGGGGATGCATACCGTGTTTGAGCAAGTCCACTCGTTGTCTAAGCAATAGTGCTCGAGCTCCACGCATCTTTAACAAAACAAAGAGCTCGCTGAAGTAGATGGCAGATTGATTATAAATTAAATTGAACGAAACTGAATATAAGTCAGAGCTCTAACAGCGAATTCCGCAGCTTGCACTAGTGCGCATTGAGTGCACAGCGCGAGGCTTGTTCCGAGTCTACTCTTATATTTGTGGTCATCTCAAGTACACGTTCAAAAACTATTTAGCCAAAAGAATGACTCGTACGAATGCTATTTATCGTCAGTGAATTCACGTGTTATAAGATCGCCGAACGATTTTTCTAAATTATCTTAAAATGCTATACTTAGCATTTATTACGATAACCCCCTCTTCCCCGTGCCAAAAATTAAAATTCTTATTGCGAAAAATATTACCTCAGCCAGGATTCGAACCTGGGACCTCCCTCAATCCGTGACGGGCGTCTTAAAAATTTCGTTCTAATTTTATATTCTTGACGCACTGTCTGTAAGAGTTATGCTTCTTTTCCCTTTTTCTTTCTTCGGTATACGCAAATGTTGGACTATAGTGTTTCTCCTTAATTTTATCTAGTTTACAAAGCAGCACAAAGTTTTGCGATATTACTTGAAAAGGACCACAATGGACCGGACGGCCGAAACGTTGTAAAACGGATTAATTTAATAAAACTTTACGTTCATGGTCTATCCATCCGTTAATAACAGGACAAATTATCCCGACGCTATCACGGCGAAAAGTAAGCAGCGACGAACCTGAAAGCATCCACGTCGAGACGATGGCACTTCTGCTTATTGACAACGCAGAAACCGGCACATCCGGTAGGATCGTCGCGATCCCGGGGGCTTCTGCATGACGGCACTTCCTCGTTGACGAGTGCGACGCACACCTCGTCCTGAAAGCAGTCGTCGCAATATCTCGTTGCATTAATAACGTTCTGACTCGCAGCTTCCGTTTCCGCGCCTTCGCTCGGCGGCGAAGTGCTTCCCGGAAATGACGGATCGCCGTTTAAAGGGGCGCCCATGATCTCCGCCGTCATCGACGTTAACTTGGTCATGTTGGTCGTCAGATTTGACTCGTCGTGCAGGATCATGGGCGCGGACGGTTCGTCGGAAGTAACGTTCTGCCCCGTCAACCTGCTCGTCGACGACTTCAGGTATTGCTGAATGACCTGGAGCTTCTCGGGTTCTGAAAAAAAAAAGAGAAGGGAACATGAATAACGATCAGTCATCGCGGGTGAAAAAGCTCGTTACCGCGTTTCCGCGACGACGGAGGTGCGGACTAAATGTATCGAAGCACGGTCGAGACGTCGAGAGATGCGCTGTATTCTCTTTTGACTGTCATCTTTTCGGCAAAAAATGTTGCACGCCTAAATATCTAGTATTATATAAAATTATACGTGAAAAAAAAAATGTCCTTACATATTTTTACATTGCATTTTTCTATACAATTTTATACAATTCTACACAGTTCTGTATAATTTTATAGACTTATACATGCTTTTATATGAAACATTTGTAAAAAATTGCTTGATGATTGTTCATGAGAGTTTCTTGAAATCTTACCATACACTTTGCTAGTAAAACTCTCATAAACGTCCTAACAATACCATGGTGTCCCACGATTACATGATTTTCAGGGTAAATTCGAAAAGAACATTCTCTCCGTGTGTGAATTCATATACCGTTTTTTCCAACCTGTCCTGCGCGCCATTACTGTCGACGACATATAACACAGGTCCTCGCTAGGTGGAATCGTTGTCGTCCGCAAATTCACATATTATAAATCGAAGAACGATTTCGAATTAATTTAAAACGCTACACTTAGCATTCAATACAGTAACCCTCGCCGTGACTGAAAATAGAAATCATATGAGGTCTTCCCGATTTCTTGTAAATCTGGAAAAACGGAGGGTCGGAGGCCGGAAAGTGGGGGCGGAGAGCGGAGGCTTCCGGTGCTCTCCGTCTTGCGCCGACGGGGGGTTGAAGGGCCGGCCTCTCGAGGAACTTTCCTGTCGCGCCACGGGATTCCAGACGTGCCGATCGTCCGCGAAACACACGGTCGTTGGCTCTCGCCACTCTTCATCGCGTCTCCGACGCCAGGCCGCTCGCGGCCGCGCCTCGAGCGAACCAACGAGCGCGCGCGGCCGGAGGAAACGTTCTGCTGACCCCGCGGTTAAATTCATCTCGTTGGAGCAATTGCCACGCTTTGCGTCGAATTAAACCTCGGCCATCAGCCGGCGGGATGCAGATACTTTTAATTGCCGGCAACGATAAGGCGACGGCGCCACGGCGACGTCGTTTGTTCCCGCGGCTAATGTACGCTGTTCCGGCACGCAAGCCGTCACACAGAAACGTTCACACAGACATTTTAGAAAAATAAGAAATGTGAAAAGTAAATTTGCACACTTTAAACTTTCATTTGAGGCAAACTTGAAACTTACTTTAAGAATTTAAAAGAAACCTTTCGCAATTTTCTTCTTGCGAGATAGTGCTATGCCGCGCGGCCCTCTAGCGGAAACTTCGACGGACTTGGCTATCTAAAAATGGCTCTAAGTGTTCAAAGTTACTCTAAAATTTCTTAAGTAAACTCTTAGATTTGAAACATCACGTTTGAAAACTTTAATTTCATTGAAAGTAAATTTTTCCAAGGGAGAAAATGTTGCAGAGTGGAAGAGCTGAAGCACCTTGTGTACCAACTTCGGCGATACGGAAGCGAGTCAATGTGCAGTCTGCGTGAACGCGAGATGAATTAAGCCTCTGTGATAAATCAATAAACAGTCTGATCAAGCTGATTGACCCCGGGGCTGAATGATATTTCATTCTGACAAACGTGTATCTATCTAGCGAACTATTTCTAACGTTTCATCAAAGCCTCCATCGAGCTGCTGCTGCTATTACTTCGCAAGCAATAAAACATAACGCGCGGGCGATTTCAACGTGCCTTCCATTTCGCTTGAAGGGGAGTCTCAAGTGAATCAACAGCGAAGCAATGAGTGAGGAATAAGCGTCTTGCGACGAAAGCCATTTTAAAAGTCTCGTTGCATTTTTGCTGCTCTTGAACAACGAGTGGACATCACAATCGCAGAAGAATTCACGCTTTGGAAAATTACGTACAAACGGACGACAGGTCTTTGTTATTTTCCTCATAATCGACGAAAGATCGTAAAATCGGAAACATTCGCAAAAGAATATGCAATCGTTGCGAAAACTTTGCATTTCCCATTTAATAAGCAAAGAAATAAAAGAATTAAGGCGAATGTTCCAGTTAGTGGACAAGTTGCCTCGTTGTGAAAATGAACTGATAAGGCCCGGTTTTTCATCAGTCGACTCTCCATCTTTTTCTATGTTATTATCAGAGAAGAGACAAAGAGTCGACTAAAAACCTCTGGTCAACAATTAATCAGTAAACGAAAAACCGGGCCCGAGGGGTAAACCGCTGACCAAAATAATGTACACCAAAATAATGTACACCAATGCACTAATGTCCAGTGGGCCATTACTTTATCTTATTTATCTCATTTTGTCTTGTTTTATCTTATTTTATCTTTATAATGCCCCAGCAAGGCCTAATGCCCATAAAATGCCTGGTGATTCCCAGTAATGCTGCAAATCAAACACCACAATGCCCTCAGCGGTTTACCTCTCGACCGGGCCTAAGTGAACGATACACGTGTCAAGTTAAGTACATAAAGTTAATTTTCCTTTTCTGCCTAACCTTCATTGCTTAAAAGAGAACATGCTCGGTCTAGTATTAGGGGAACCCGGGGCATAACGGGAACGCTAAGGTTAAAATTAATTTTAAACAAAATGAAAATACATAAATGAATTATTTTTTTACGAAAATATTCTTTGAAATGTCTACTATAAGAAAGAAAATGGTTTTACTGTGAAAGAATAGTTTAAAAGGACGAAATTTTTATTTTATTGAGACCATGACTTAATCTGATTATCATTTTATGCGGGGCATAATGGGACTCCTCACAAAACTTATATATTTCTTATACATTAATGTTTAAAACTTATTAAAAATGATTTTTTAAATACACAATAAATATACTAATGTAGTATTGCATTTTAATAATAATTATTATTTATTGATAGCACTTGTTATCACATCTACATGAAACATTTTAAGAATAGTAGGTACAAATATGTGTAATATCCTCATTGTTGCTCATTGTTCCTTTCAATGTTGCTGTTAATTTTCAATTTTTTGTTGAGACATGCTCCGTTAACTTAACACTTGCGAGTCAACTAATAAGAAGAGGTTATCTATTGTACCATTATGCCCCACGGCCTAATGTCCCTTTATGCCCCCAAATGTACCTTTACACTAAATACAAAATATCATTGATAATCAATATCTGTGCAGAAATACTTTACTAAAGTGACTAGAAAAGATTGTTTAATAGCGTAAAATTACTTATGGTAATAAAAAATAGAATTTTATCATTGTTACATCATGCTGATCTATCAACGAAATTATAAGCGAGTCACGGAGAGTGCAGCGAACGCATTAAACAATTTATAGCATTTTTCAGTTAAAAATAACATGACAACTGATAACAGCATGCGATAAGGATCATCTAATAGCAATAATTGCAAAATATTTCAATACATATCAGCACTTCTGTAAAAAGTTATAGATCATATCCCATTATGCCCCGCCGTTCCGTTATGCCCCAGGTTCCCCTACCATGTCTACGGTTCTAATAGTATATTAGATTTCCTTAATTTTTTTCACAATTCTTAGCTTATTCATTAATTTCAAATTAAATGAAAGGTTGCTTACCGAAGACGATGTACAATGCGACCCCCGCGACCCCCAGCAGGATCAGCACGACGATCAGCAGGGGTATGAGCGGGCTCGAGCATCCGGATGCCTTCAGGGGACGGGCCAGGTGCAACGTCCAACCGCGACGGTGCTTGTCCAGGCGCGCCGGATGCGGTGGCGGCTCGTTTCTGACGCTTCGACGTAAATTAACGCGATTCTGCGAGGTCGGGGTGTGCGTCCGCGTCGGTAGGGAATAGGCCCTCTGAAACGAAAAAGAAAACGGACACGGTAACGAACCGGATCCTAAAATAGGCTGCGAATTTACGAGGAGGACACATCTATCTAGAAACCCGTGATAGGTAGGCGAAGAAAAAATGAAGACAGTAAGATAATTCGTCGAAGAGAAAAGAAAATTGCAGTACAGACATTGTGAAATACAAATCGTACAGCGTCCTGATACATTTTGAAATTACAAAGATGACGCGTTCAATCCGTTGCGAAAGCGCGCGATCGATTCTAAAACAGAGCCGCTTCTCCGAGTTTCATAAGTGAAGAAAAACTAAAGATAAAAAGATCATTCGTCAAAGAGATGTGATTCTAAACAGTTTAGACATCGTAAATTCAAATCGTACGGCGTCCTGATACATTTTGAAATTAAAGAGACGACGTTTTCGATCTATCGCGAAAGCGCGCGTGATCGATCCCGCAACTGATCTACTTCTTCGAGTTCCTTCGGTAATCGCAGTTGGCGTTTTAATTATGCATCCAAGTCACTTAAATTGCGACGAAAGGAATTGAGCTTTCGCATGATAAAATGTGGATGAGTAGATTACGTCAGAGGAATTATAACCCTGCGTTCGACCTTCGCTTCTACGATTCTCCGCGTACGCCAGACTTGTGACGCACGAAAAGAGCAAGATGCTCAGAAGCGACGAGGACGGTTGTCGCTATGTTACATCGCTCATTTGAGAAGCGCTGGCCTATTGTAATGCGCTTTCGTAATTTTTGTTGACGCGTCGCTCGCCGAAGACGACGACGACGACGGGCTCGTCGCGGTCGCAATCAGACGGCAGTCTATAGATAGACATCTTCCACTTCCGCTCCGTTTTGTTTCTTTACGTCGGTGCAGCGCGGTCCAGACGGCGGCCGTTTTCTTCTCCCGAGGCTGTCAGCTCTCGCGCGAGCCGGGAAGTCGCGGACGGGCCGCCTCGGGGCGAGCCGCGAATATGATCTCGAGGTACCGAAACGCGCGTCCAAGACAATTTCTTGCCGCCTCATTTACCGCCCACTTTAATCATCCGCTCGTGATCTATATTTGATCTCCACGTCGAGCAGAACTTTCAATCAAGTTACCCGCGGATATCCGGTGAATATTCCTGGATATCCATTAGCCTATTTAAATATGCCATGACAGATTTCTTACACGGAAAGAATTCTCTCTTATTTAAATTCTTGCAAGTATTAATTAAATTCTTGGAATTTTTGATAGCGTAACCTCCTCGCCGGTCATGTTCTCCTGATACTTTTTCGATTTTGCGGAATATAGAGTTTGGAAATTTAAATTCTTGACAATGAAATTGTTGGAATTTTGATAGTGCGACCTCCTCGCCGATCATGTTCTCCTGATACTTTTTCGATTTTGCCGGATATAGATTTCAGAAATTTAAATTCTCGTAAAAATTTTTGAAATTTTTGATAGTGCGACCTCCTCGCCGGTCATGTTCTCCTGATACTTTTTTGATTTTACGGGATCTAGAGTTTGATATCCTGAAAATCATGCAATCGTGGGACAATAGGTATATCGCATTTTGAAGAACTTTATGAGTTTTTTTAAATTTTACCGTACATTTTACTAGAAAAATAGAAGAGAGAAAGAGAAGCCCCGGCTTTTAGAGCTTCCTAACAGGAACGGTTGACCATGTCACATACTATATAGTAAAATATATGGTAAAATTTCAAAAAACTCTCATAAAATTCTTCGAAATGCCATGTCGTCGCACGATTACATAATTTTCAGAATAAATTTTAAGGGAACATTCTCTCCGTGTACATTTTTTGCCGTGTTATAATATTTACGTCGCCATTATTATTATTAAAATTTTTTTGTAAAGATACTTTGTTCATTACATAACGTTAAAGAGATGCGTAATACCTGCTTAAACGAGAATAAGTAAGAAATAATAAGGACACGACAATAAATAAATAGAATAAATTGAAAACGCGTTGAAAACGTTGCAAAAATACAAATAATGAACGCTACGAAAATAGAATATTTCTACAATTTTCACGCGAAAACTCTAATTCGAGCTTCATTTATGACGGCAATGATAACTTAAGGTGCAGCGCGCCTCTCTCGGCCACATAATTTCGCAGCTATCGTTAAAGTGTCCGGACAGTAGGCCCGAATTATCTATAGAAAGCATAACACAGCTGAAGGATGCTCGAAATAAAGTCACACCTGCGATTTTATATTTAGCCGCACTTGAGTAATCTTGATATTATATTTATTCTTTCGGACGAAGGGAGTTTTTCAAACGTCGTACGCAGAAGTCTTACAAGTATCCGCTAAAATGCAAGATACCAAACTACGATAATACATTCTGTAGACGAGTAAATATACACGAAAGATATCGCGTTAATATTTATAATAAAACCTATTGCATAAAACTATTTTACTTTGCATAGAAAATATATTGCACCTTAAACATCAAGTAACGTCGCATTACTATTGTTATAATTTATGATACACTGAAATGATCAATCATTAACATTTATTTAAAAAAAAAAGATATGATGACTAAGGAAACTGATCAAATTACAAACTGGTTTTAAAATATTAAGACTCGACAAAGAAATGAACTGTTTATTGCGACGAATATTACTGTATGCCTCGGTGGTCGAATTGGCCCGCCTAGTGAGACGGAGGTCCAGGTTCACACCCTGGCTGAGGTAATATTTATCGCAATAAATTTCTTCTAACTGTCCATCAGTATAATACAATTATTTGTACACCGACACCCCGTAACGGCTCTTAAATATATTTTATTTATGTATAATAAATAATGTATTAAAAAATCACGTACTTTTCTATATTTCATATCGTATCATAAACGTCATAATTACTCGCGCAGAACCACATCGAAATTTAGTAGTGCGTTTCTTCAACGTCACATAACTTTTCTACGCAAGCACGTTCAGCGATGAAACTTTACCTGCATTTAGGGCTATTCGACTCTCGTTCGGCACGAACCGAAAACGAATCACATTTAACGGCGCACGAGAGAGGTCACAATTGTACGCTCCGCCGCGGAGTGTCAAAGATGCCGATCGACCGTTCCTGTCACGAAGCTCTAAAAGCCGGGGGCCTCTCTTTCTCTCTTCTACGCCCGCTCATGCGTACACTTTGCAGCACGCGCGGCGTGCACGTGTGCTGCGGTGACGTAACACGTTAACAGCGTCGCGCTTTGCGTTTGCACGTACCTAACGTCTCCGAGCGTTAATTGTCACGCGGTGGGTGGACGACGCCGCCGAACGATAACGAGACCCGCGAGAACCAAGGATGCGCACGTAACATGATCTAATCCCGTCTTTCAGAAAGAACTTGCAAAACGTCATCGACTGATTCCGTGTAGAAACCTTTAAAACGTGGTTTCTGAATACGAATTCTATGCACGTGTAACATATCCATAATTTCAAGAAATCTCTTAACAGTTGAAACTAGTTTACAATGGTAGTTCTTGCACATCGTAGAGCGAAATCAAACTGCGAAGGTTTATATCAAAATTAATTGATAACTTTCCGGTTTATCTTAAAAAATTTTATTAATTTTTTTATTTATTTACTTACTAATATATTATTCTTTTGTATTACTACATGGATCACCCTTTCGGAAAGCTGCATGATTTTTCTTCCATGTTTAAACACCACCCTTTGTTCCCCAACGGGAATGCCGTATAACTGCAGCTTTCAATTTACACAAGGCAAGAATCGTAGTGATTCGTCACCTTCGGTGTAAACGGACAGGCAGGAGAATGCCTGGACATTTCTAGAATTATAGAATACATTGTAGAAATAATGCCCAAGCAGCCCAAGGCCATTCCCGCCTGTCTGTGCGTACAGGCATTGTACCCTGTGAAGAGAACCTTTTCTGTTTGCATTGAACTTCTCCGGGACAGCGCGAACGCAGTCCCGACTACCAAAAATTATACGCCCGAGATACCCACTTTAGGGGTATTCGCAAGGGTCAGCTCGACCGTAGTGCAATGGAGGAGCCTCACCCTGGAGGAACCGCCTTAGTGATCACGGTAGCCTCTGCGCCAGGTAAGTATGCTTTTCGGACCGCACGTCCCTTTAATATAGGGGACTCACTGAATTTTAAACACGAGAAACGTATGTGTCACTGGACCACGTAGCGGCGATGTGCTCAACTAAACGTGCCTTCTACCAGCCAGCCGTAAATCGAAACTAGTCGGAGCGACTCTCCCCGGCTCGCCACCCCATTCCTAGCAATAATAGTTCTGAATGCGTCCCCGTTATATCACATTACGTCATTACGTCTAACACCGGGCGTCATCTTTTTAAATCGACATAAAGAAATTACCGTGGACTTTTTTATCCTCGTTGCTTCTCCCTACAAACTTATCGATTAATCGATTTGAGACGTGAAATTCTACTGTTACCCTCAATGACAAATAATTGACATGGAAAAAAATCTAGTCGACTTCTTTACATCTGATATCTTTGTCACTCCCTTTCGATTAATCGATGTAAAACGTAAAATTCTATTGTTATTCTCTATACAGAGTGAGGCAATAACTTTGTCCACCTCGAATATCTCCGCTATTTTTAGAGATATGAACAAATTATGATCATGTAAGTTGAACTACATCAAGGGAGCCACAACATGTTAGTAATATTTTTTCAAAAAGTGGAGGAGCTTCGTAGATTTCAAAGTCACCTGCACTTTTTTTAATGGAACCCCCTATTGTTTATTATACTATCTTATTCTACTAAGTAATATGAACAACTTTTGTCTGAACAACAACTGAAATTTTTTGATTTGCCTAATACTTTTTGAGATATTCAAGAGAAAATTGATAACTTTTTCGATATTTAGCTTGTAATATCTTGATAACTGTTTGTCAGAGCGAAAAATAGTACAAAACTTTTTTTATTTAATTTGGTCTCAAGAGTAATATGCTGTTGCAGTGCTCTAGTTATTGAAAATTTGTGTATATTGTAACACACAAAATTTCCATACGTATTCCATAGCTTATTGTTATGACATTCTCCTACTTCTTATTCTATCTCTGAACCGATGTATGCACAGCAATAAACTTTTATTATTATTATGTTATATTATAATAGAATTTCTAATTTTTACTCGTCAAACTGTTTTTTAATTTTGTATCTTTCATAACCAATTGATTAAATGTTAGTAAAAATAAACTCAAGAAGTGACTTCGCACTTTTGTCTTTGCAAAAAAATTTATAGGACCAGAATGAGCGTTTAAGCAGAAAAACCGAGAATTATGTAAAATTGAGACCTTGCGAAAGGGACGAGTCGATAGATTTTTAATACTCAAAAATGAAAGAAACACAAGAGGCAACGCTCGTATCCAGGACAACTCACCTGAAAAGGATTCTTGACGTCGGTATAGAACACCTGCGGCTCCTTGCCGTACCAGCGATCCTGCGAGTATATCGAGTTAATCCTCATATCGGTCCCATTCCCCGGCACTCCCAGTATTTTGTTCTGGGCACCCTCCACTACTTTGCCCAGCATCCTATCGTTCTCCGTGTTCAGCAGGTACCTGATCGGATTCCCCGCCGTATGCACCCCATACTCGGACGCGGGAAACGCGGTCGATGAACCTTTCTTGGCATCGATATCCCGGAGACTCGTCCTCACGAGTGGATAGATCTTTATGTTCTGCGTCCTCAGAAGCGACTCCCGGAATAAAAGAGTGGACGCGTCCGGATGCTTGTGATTGTTTCGGTTCTCCCTCAGAATTGCGTCTTTGCTATCGATCAGCTCATCTAACTTCTCGCACGAGCCTGCGTCGGCTAATTTGCTCCTGCAATGCTTGCAGTCCTTCTTCCTGCGTCTGCGATTCGCTCGACGATCGGACTGCGTCACCGGGGTGTCACCTCGCGACGAATCTTCGTTCTCTCCGGCGAGGGGAGGTGCTGGGAGGTCGCGGGACTTGCCGAAGACTCTCTCAGGAACATCTTCGCCTGACTTGGATGCCGTTCGCGACAAGGTGGTCGTGCTGCCGTGATTCGTGCTGATCCTAGCCGAAGAGGACAACGTCGAGTTCCGTTGGAAGGGACTGTCGATCGCGGGTGACGGCGGTCGGTTGATCCAAGCTTGCCTAGCGAAATCGATCGGTCCGCGTTCCTCGAGGTCGGAGTTTCGAGATTCGTCGAGGCCGGACGTCCGCTCGCGAGCATCGGCCCCCGCGTCGATCGCGATGTCCTCGTACACGTGACCCTCGGGATGCGTCGTCGTCCTTGCGACAACGGGATCATCGATCGCGCCGATCGTGTCCGCGCGAAGCTGCTGATCGCGACGGCGAAACTCGAGTGTGGACTGTTCTTTTGCTACGCGCGACTGCTCCTCTTCGTAACCCTGGTTCTCCATCGGAAACTGAAAGAAAAATTACGAAAACATTAAACCTTGATGTGTTAAGCACTGCTGTAATATTAACGATATTCCCGTTGCCGATTAAGCGCACAACAATCGATGTATTTTATCAGGACAAATTTTATTAATTGGACCGCGTCTGAGATTGGAAATTTTATATGAATTTATTGGCCCTTGGACCCGAGCAGAAATTTTAGTAGGGTCCTGGTAGGGGCCTAATAAGGATGCCTTAAATGCCTGTTCAGGCACTCATCAAGCAGCCCTGTAGCGCCCTGACCGTAAATGTAACATCGAGAATTAAAATTGCTCGATCAGGTTTTCCTTATCAAGACCTTGTGGCTTGCCCCTTGTTACGCCTTACAATTTCTAGTAGAGGGATTCTAAGTAGGGCATCAGTAGGCTTCCTATTAAAACAATTTGATTCTTTTAAATTAATTTTTTAATTATGTTAAATTATATAGTAATCGAAAGTATGTTTAGGTCATTGAAGTTTATCCATGATCCAGACGACTCGCTGTCGAGTGTTGGATCATATCGGCTCGACTCTTATACAGGGTGAGTCTTTCCATATCCGACAAAATTTTTGAGAAGGTAGAACGGGTCGAGATGAACGGAAAAGTCCTGTACCATTTTGCAATTTTCGTAATAGTTAACGAGTAATTAATTATTAAAAATCGTTGTCTTAGGCCGGCCTACCGTCCAATTCGAGCGCGTGGCGAGATGTGACCGCCTGGCGATCGATATTGCTATACGCACATCTCG